GAGGTGAAGGATATTGCGACCAGAATTTGAGTACGGAGGAACATTGTAATGAGGAATCTTCCAGTGTTCGCCAAAAAAATCCATTCCGGCTGCTTTCTCCAGAATCGCAATCGACCTTATAATTATGAAACGCACTGTATTACTTTGTCGTGCTGCGCCAGAAAGGGAATTATGGGGGCTCGTAATTGAACACGGTTATCGATGGACAACAACGCATTCCATCTTGACCCTTGCTACAGGTGCACAACATGAAGGAAAGATTTGCCTCAACGATACAACTCGTAGCGGTCGTCCACGTCCATTCAGTACTGATACAGTTCTCACTTTCGCTCACAAATCAATCTTTCTCAAATTCGAGAAGAATAAAAAGGACAATTTCGAGAAGAATGAAAGGACAATTCTACTTTATGGAATTCTACATAAAAGTCGCTTTAGTGCAGCACAGCCTCGGTGCATTCCCACATTCCCTAACAAGGAAGATCCTTCATCTTTTTTTTCAAAAAGCGTGGGACGCTCTTTGAAAATGGGTTTTTGCATGGTGCAGGGGCATGAGCACTGAGTACAGAACTATGTTCCATTTCTGCTAAACGGCCTTCTGAATGCCAAAAAAGGAGTGAAAGTGATTTTGTCAGAAATTGCCGTTTTAACCCACAAAGCGTCGTTTGTTTCATTCATGGTGTCGACTGTCCGCACAGTAGAATGCGACAGTAGACTACGCATTAAAAATAACGTGAACGGTAGCCAAAAAAAGGGAGCCACATGTTGAAACGTGTTGAAAAGTGCGGGGAAGTTCATATGTGTCCTCTACGGTTGAGCTGCTGGCAGCGACGGAAGCTGTGGTGGGTAGCGATGTGAACTTCGAGTTGGGACGACAAGGTTGATGATGGTTCGGATCCTCGACGCCGCCGCTCTTGCATTTTATGCTGCTACCGATGGCGCTGCCGCTCTTGCATTTTATGCTGCTACCTCCAGATTGGCTCCATATTGCACCAGGGCCAAGGCAATGAGCCAGAGAGGCCTGACCGACCACGTAGTCGTATTCGATTCCCAGGCACACGTGTTACCAGCGCCACTGCGCCGCACACTGCATTCCTCCGCACCTCGTTCACTCCTACGACTGATACCAAAAGCATCTGTTAAGGTAAGATCACTGGCCTGTATAAATTTACATTGACCTTTAACGTCATACACTACACCGAAACCTTGTGGAGCCGAATATCATTTAACAGAATAGCCGAATATCAGTGGAGCATAAGCGGCTACTGCGTTAGATTTCGCAGAGCAACTACTCCGTTGTTTTGTTTCCCCTCTACAGATGCTTTTCTCGTGGAGAAATGCGAGATCTCCGAATCAAATCGGAAAATTTCCGTTATCGATTCTTGTCATGAAAGCGTCGAAGACACACGGAACAGCGTTGGACTGCTCATTGGTTTCGGTCCCGATGATGATCCTGAGGCGCCTTGAGAGCAAACGACATCCGCAAATGATATTTGGTTCCACACAGGTTTCGGTGTAGGAGGTCGTATTGGCCCGGCGTTCACGTTTTTAGTTGGCGCCATCTTTCGGGATTGACAGCGTTCTATCGAGCGACTTGTAGGTCAAGCCAGAGGACGCGGTCATGGGCCGTAGAAGGCGGCACCCTGTTCGTCTTTCGGTGCATCTGACGCGAAACAGCTAAACTAAACACTAAACTAAACGCTAAACAGCTTCACCAAACCAGCTCTGTTAGGGCTGAGCTGTACAGTCAGTACGTAGTTGGCAACCTTCTTCGGTATGGTGTCCATGGACAGGTTCCTGTGTGTTCGGCTGCGGATGTGGATTCCATCGAGGGAACCTCAGCCAGGCGTTGGGTTTTCGAGTTCGCGATCGAGATTTAGGTCTGAAAAAGCACATGTAGACTTGTATATCAAAGAATCACGGAATGGGTACCGGTGCTCAGAAAATGATGACAGATTTGAGAAATTCCTGCAGTATTCAAATACACACATAAATAACGTTAGAGGTCAATGAACATACTTACAGGCCACCGATTTTATCTTCACAGACCCTTTTTTATCAGTCGTGGGAGTGAACGAGATGCGGAGTAATGCACTGTGCGGTGCAGTGGCGCTGGTATCAAGTATGTCTGGGATCGAATACGACTAGGTGGCCGGCCAAGCCAGCCTGGTCGTCCCCCTCCACCTCTCTGGCTCATTGTTTTGGCCCTGGTGCAATATGGAGCCAATCTGGAGGTGGCAGCATAAAATGCAAAAGCAGCAGCGTCTCGAGGATCCGAACAATCAACCCAGCTTAAAAAAGCCTGAAGAAACAAACGACGCTTAGTGGGTTAAAACGGCGATTTCTGACAAAATCATTTCCACTCCTATTATTCAGTGCTTCTGTGCCAAACAGTTTTTAATGGTGGAATATTTATTCGCCTATCTTTCGACTAATTCGTCGTTATCGAAGGCCTGAAAGCGTATCGCAACTTCAGAGTGTTACCTATCACGTTTGACGTAGACCAGTTCTTAACTAGTTGCAAATCAGATTGTCGAACTTCCAACTAAGAAGAAATTCTGACAAGTCACTCACGTCAATTCCACCAATACCGAACAGTTGCTCAACTTTCGCGACGATAGAGCAATTGAGACAGCCCGGTCAACCACGACCTATTTATAGTATCGTGACGTGACACGTATCAGTTTCACTATCAGAGCTCGCACAGAGGAATGTAAGGCAAAAGGTCACCAGTTATTTTGATGCACTCATTCTTGTTATTCATGCTGGGATTTCGGTATCTTATCCAGAAAGCCTCGAGAGTTTTTCTGGCACCAATACTGTCCTCGTAGGCCAAAATCGTGCATTTAACGTCAAAGTCACAACCAGCATGACCTTCCCTTCTGTGCTTCCCAAGCGGTGCAACCGAGCAAGATCTTCGTTTGCTAGCTAAATGTTCTTTCACACGAACGCATGACTGTCCCCAAGTTTCTTCAATATAGCAAGCATCACATGTTTGACACTGAAGTTGGTAAACCACAGCTCTTTTTGCACAGTCTCCTACTTTTCCATACGGGCAGTTTCAAACATGGAGATTGCTTCGGAATGTACCGCCGAATGTATTTCGCCTGGTGAGAGAAGCGTTATCGTTGCGGCAAAAGTGGCACTCACCCGACAGTCCTTCCTATTTCTGAAACGATGCAAGGCGACTGATATTCTACCAAGATTCATTCTAAATAAAGAGCTTGGATCAGTGAGCGACCTTCCTGATAAACACCCCAGAATCAAGAACATCTATCGATCCCTGCTCAATGTGGTTATCAGAGAAAAACAACATCTACTGTATTCAATGCTGCTGAAGTGTAAAGCTAAAAAAGAATCATGTCGCCGCCTTCTGTCGGAAGAAGTATGGAGAAGGATTGAAGGTGAATCGAAACGCCTGTGTGATCTTATCTGTTCTGACGCCAAGGCCACGCTCTGCGCCAAGTACGATTCCCTGTGGGACGCACAACGGGTAAGAAATTCTGATAATGATCACTTCTCGTCCAATTGTAACCTATCCGAACAACATAGCCCACAACAGCCAAACATCATACTTGAAAAAGCAAGAGTCATCGTCGTGGGCGATGCATAAATTTCGTCGAAAGCTGTAGATTTTCTATGTTTGGGGCCATCGTTCTCGTTAACGCGAACGATCAACCCGTTACCGTTCGTAAAATTGTATGCGGTTTGCAAAAGTTCAGCGACCAACAGGGAACAAAAGCACGACGCGACTCCCAGGGACAGGTAGTTGAAAGGTGAGAGCGTACTACTCAAACACCTATTCCATTCCCACAGTCATTTTATAAAGAATCTGATCCCTTCCCGAAAGCAGATATTGAGTTCCAAATCTTGCCAGAGGGAGTTCTGAACGCGCTTAATAAATTCAAGCGCGAAAAGCGCTCCAAACTGACACGCGAGCACTGGGAAGGGTTCAACGAAATCCGGGGAAGAATAAAACGGAATGAAGCAAACCTTTCTGTCAGCGACAAAGGTGGAGAATTTGTGATATTACCTGTCTTTAGACAGGAAATCACAGAAATCCATCTAGCAGACACAACTGTCTACCGCAACACGACAGAAAAAGCCTTTCCTATGTAAACACACAAGTTATACACCTTGTGGGTCAAAGTAGGAAAGATGGCAAAATTGGATGAAAGACTCATTAGAAGGCTGAAGCTGGAGGGTCCCACGAGCCCAGTATTTTATAGCCTTATTAAAACCCATAAGTTGTCTGCTGAAAACATGCAGTCACTGCTGCCGCAGGCTTACAAAATTAGGCCTCTAATCATAATCAGTTGTGTTGATGGACCGACCGATCGCATTTCATGGTTCCTAAATATTGGGTTGTCCGAAAAAATCCCGCCGATTTTTGATTGATCTTCGAATGAAAATTCCTAGAAGAAGAAATCCATTGATTGAACAATATATCCTCCATTCTGTTGAGTAAGGAATCGACATCTTCCTGTAGGTTCTAGTACCCCTCTTCCATAGAAGGTTCCAGACTTAAAATCGAAAAACCCACTCAGGTGCTTTCTGCAGTCCTCCAGCGAATTGAAAAATTTTCCATTCAAAGAATTTTGCAGAAACCCAATCAAGTGGTACTCTGATGGCGCTATGTTTGGACTATATGGAGTGTGTGGTAAGACATTCCACCTAAGCTCTAGCAATTTTTGACGAGCGGCCAAAAATACGTGTGGTCTGGAGGTACCCTGTTGGAAGACAACACCCTCTTGATTAGCCAATCCTGGTCGCTTCTGGTCTATCGCTGCCTCCGAATTTTCTAGCTAACTATAGTAACTTTCTGAATTTATCATTTGATTACGCGACAACAGCTCATGGTAAGTGATTTCCCTAGAATCCCACTAGCAACTCGGCATAGTCTTCCGCGCCTGGATTTTGACCTTTGTTGCGGTTTGTGACGGCTCACTGGGGATGTTCCACGATCGTTTCCGCTCCTCACTGTTGTGCACGATCCAGTTATCGTCCTCTATGCTCACGCGTTTCAGAAACAGCTTATTTTTACCTCGTTTGGCGAGGAGTCACACACGGAGGCACGATCCATCATACTGTGCTCGCCGATTTCATGAGGTATCCCAACACCGAGGCGCTTTACGAAACCAAGGTTCAGCAGATGATCATGGATGGTTGATTTTGAAACAGTAAGCCCTTGTCCTACTCCACGAGTAGTGATTTGCCAATTAGCTTCGGTTCTCATTACGATTTGGTCGTTTTGACTGACGATGGTTTCCCTGAGAGTTGCCAGTCTTCGAAGGCTCATTTACTCTGTTTGGATTCCGCAAACTAGTCATGCACTGTACGTTCTTCTAGGGCATGGCCTACTCAAACGTCATATATCTTTCTTGCGGCTTGAGCCGCATTCTAGGCCTTGCGGTATAAGAAATACTTCGGATGTTGAAAATGCGCGCAGTGGTTCTCCATTTTCATACGAGTCCTGTGCAGAAAAACTTCGAAAAATGTTGACAGAATCCCAACAGGAATATAGAGGAGGACGTACTCTTCCAGAAAACATATAACTTTATTAGGCTGGGTCCTTGATCTTTTGCACAACGGTTGATAAATCCGGGGTGTCAAAAATCGGCGGAAAACTTTTCGGACAACCCAATAAAATCATCGGTCAACTTCTGGTACATATACCATCACATCTGTCGAATACGAGCAGCTTCTGGATAGCGCTCTACACCAACGTCAGCAACGACGAGGCTTCGCAAGCAGTTTCAGAAATGCTTGACCAGCACGAAAGAAGTGTGGTGACGTTCGGATTGAGCAAGGCACGAATAATGGCTCTCATGAAGAAGTGGTTGAACTGCAATATATTCAAGTGGTCCGGGAGACATTTTTCACAAATTAGAGGGCTTGCAATGGGACAGCGGCTAGCACCGGTTCTAGCTGTCTGCTTCATGAATAGAATCGAGCAACTAGTGCTGGCACGCTTACCCATAATGTACTGCCGCTACATTGACGACTATTTCGTCATAACATCAACTCAGTCATAAATGGATGAGTTGTTCAACTTTTAAACACTCAATCGCAGTGCATCAAACTAACTCGACAAGTCCCGCACGAAGGCTGTTTATCCTTTCTGAATACTCAGGAAAGGGTGACCAGTGGAACATACAGTGTGAAATGGTATAGAAAAGAAAGCTCCAAGAATATCCTCATTCATGCAATGTCGGCACATCCCAAAGCTGTTAAACGCGCGGAATTACGGAATATGTACAGAACGGCTGTAGAGGTGTGCACCGGTAACGAGAAGCGGGAAGAGTCCAGAAGTTCAGCACACCAAATAGCCAATCTGAATGGATACACGACTCGGCTCACGAAGCAGATCAAATACTTTTCCATATGGAACTTAAGATAAGATGTATCTTCAAGTACCATTCGTATCAGATCGATTCAGCGCAGTTATTCAGCAATGCCTGGAAAGAGCGGATCTAGCCAATGACGTTTTCTTGTTGGACGCACCGGGAGAAAACATCAAATATCAGTTGGTTAGAAATCGTCTCTATGACCGGAACTGCATTATGGATAACTGCGTGATCTGCCCGTATGGAGAAGTAGGAGACTGTGCACAAAGAGCTGTGGTTTACCCTCTCCAGTGTTTGACATGTGATGCTTGCTATATTGGAGAAACTGGGAGGCAGTCATGCGCTCGTGTGAAAGAACATTTAGCTAGCTAACATTTAGTCATGAAGGTCTTGCTCGGTTGTACCGCTTGGGAAGCACAGAAGGGAAGGTCATGCTGGTTGTGACTTTGACGTTAAATGCACAATTCTGGCTTACGAGGATAGTATTGGTGCCAGAAAAACTCTCGAGGCTTTCTGGATAAGACATCGAAATCCGAGCATGAATAATAAGAATGAGTGCATCAACATAACTGGTGACCTCTTGCCTTACATTCCTCTGTGTGAGCTCTGATAGTGAGACTGATACGTGTCACGTCACGATACTACACTGCGTCTCCAAATGTTACAGCCACCTTTGATTTCTCCAGAAACTCACAGTATACGATGTTACTGAAAAAGTGCCAAAGTAAAAAGCGTGTCAAATCTGAATTGCAATTCGCACATTATCACCAAATTCCAGCTCGGAAACACAAACATTTTTTGCTCATTTTTCACTAAAGGGTGCTTTTCCAACGTCTCCAAATGATACGGTCACTTCATGTCTTCTTGTTTTAGTTCAACGCAACGAAATTGCTTTGTTTATGTAATGCTCTTCATTTCCAAGCAATGGGAAGAGAAAAGTTGCTTTCGTAATTCGAGAAAGACCAAATCCCCGCGAAAAAGGAACAGGGACTGTCGAATCGCAGGATCGCGCGAGATTTGGGTCGATATCACGCAGCTGTGGATAATTTTATCAAGAGTCTTGAAGCCCATGAAACCAGAAGATGTGCTGGACCTCCTTCGCTGCTGTTCGACAGGGACAAGCGCCGTATTTTGAGGGAAGCTTCGAACTCCACCAAATCCTGTGTGGAAATCCGATCGTCTCAGTCTCAAAAAAAACACTGTTTGGAAGGTGATCAGAAAGTCCAAGTCCATCGTCAAGGTGAAAATGCATAAGGCGTCCTTTATGACAAAAAGACATCGAGAGAATCGGGTCGCTTTCGCCAGAAGGTGCAGTCGAACAAAGTGGAATAAGGTGTTCCTCATGTGCTGACATTTGGCCTGACATTGACTTTTGGCCTTCCTTCTCTCGAAGGTTTTGCTCTTCAGGTCGTTCTTTCGATGTAAAAAAGTTCAGTTGTGATGGCCAACACCGGAACCGATTTAATTGGCACAATCTGACGAGGAAAAATTTCGGTTTTCTAGACTGAAATTAAAGGGAGGAGGAGCTATGCTTTGAGCCGCGATTTCATCGAGTAGGCGTATCCTTTTATGTTTTGTACCAAAAAAGATGAACTCGCCCTTTGATTGAACTGTTATGCTTTGGGCACTTCTCCCCTTCTGACGTCAGAATCGGCACCGAAGCCTTGCTTTTGGGCATAACACCCCAATTTACTTCAGCAGGAACACCCAAACTCTGTTTTCTCGGCGTTGGATTGCACTTCTGCCCTGGCTGACGAACAGCCCCGATTTGAATTCAATGGAAAATGTATGGGGCTGTATGGTCTGGAAGATCTACGCCCAAAACAAGCAATTCCGAGGCGTCAAGGAGTTGCAAAAAAGCGATCATCGATGTATGGCATCAAGTTGACCAGGAGCTGATTGATAGTTTTTATTTGAGCCTAGATCAATGTATTTTTGAAGTAATTCAAGGGAGTGGTGGACCAATTGATTATTGAGTTTGCAACTTTCTCTCCTTGTTGTATGTTTGTTGTTGAATAAATTAATTTTGTTAGTGGCTGTATAATTTGGAGACGTTGGAACAACATCCTTTACTGGAAATTTGACCAAAAAAATATTGGTGTTTTGAGCTGGACTTTGGCGATTTCCGAGCTGGACTTATCGATGATGTACGAATTGCAATTCGGATTTGACGCATTTTTTACTGTGGCACTTTTTCAGAAACATCGTATACTGCGAGTTTTTGGGAAAATCAGAGGTGGCTGTATCATTTGGAGACGCACTGTATAAATAGGTCGTGGTTGACCGGGCTGTCTCAATTGCTCTATCGTCACGAAAGTTGAGCAACTGTTCGGTATTGGTGGAATTGACGTGAGCGACTTGTCAGAATTTCTTCTTAGTTGGAAGTTCGACAATCTGAATTGCAACTAGTTAAGAACTGATCTACGTCAAACGTGATAGGTAACACTCTGAAGTTGCGATGCGCTTTAAGGCCTTCGATAATGACGAATTAGTCGAAAGATAGGCGAATAAATATTCCACCATTAAAACACTGTTTAGCACAGAAGCACTGAATAATAATAGTAAAAATGCCCAGGTTTCAGGAAAGGCGAACATGGAGATTGCATTTTCATTCCTTTTTTGGCATTCAGAAGGCCGTTCAGCGGAAATGGACCACAGTTTTGTACTCAGTGCTCATGCCCCTACACCATGCGAAAAACCATTTTCAGAAAGCGTTCCACGCCCTGAAAGACCTTCCTTGTAAGTAAATATTTCGCAGCGCATTACATGAATACCTGGAGGGTGATGTAGTCAGATAATGCTTAATCTGTATAGTTCCTCCATCGCCATTGTAACTACCATGACTTCAGAACCTGGCAGCTCTTCACTAAGGGGAAGGATCCAACAACAGCCAGCAAGGCAAAAATACAGTGGATGAAAGATCGCGGCATCAATGCTCCGCCCAATCATTGTGGTGGCTCTTGAGGGCCGCTAACTTTATTACTGATCATACATTTTGCTATACATAGTGATTTTGTTATGGACAAACCAATTGTATTTCCTTTCAAAACTACTTGGATACCATAATATAATTCAAAACGATATGCGCAAAATGTAACTGAACAAAGTAGTGAAAACCTCACCCAGATGAGCCGATCGCGATCACGTCGACTGGCACGTTTTCAACAGCAATCATCCTGTACGGAATGTAATTTGGAGGGGGTAAGCCGCTACTCACTTGCTCCAGCAAAGGCTTTTGTTTGCTGGACCAGTTTACAGTGGACACCCTTTCTTCGTCAGACGGCACTAGTGAAACCATTTTGCTCACAAGTGCCGTTTGCATGGCGCCGAGGAATTCGACCGAAGACTTCGAAACTTCGACTTTCTCTGAAGCTTCATCAGATCCTTCCCTGAACTCTGTCGGTGGGGCAGTCAAAAATCTACTGGGTGTTACTTCCTTTGGATAATATAGCATCCTTGCACGATCAAGGTTTTCGTTACAACTCATGATTACCGATGCATTATTAGCATAGGTGGAAGCAATAGTGTGTACTGCAGAGGCTTCTGCTTTTCTCTGTAATGGTGCGCAATCCATAGAGAGATCAGTGCTACTTATGTTAGAAGTGAATGCCGCGATGAGTTTCCCAGTGTAGTTCAGCGGCTGAATTGCACCCAGAAATCCGTAGTTGTTACTCACCAAACTCTTGTCACATATTGGCGCTTGCTCGACAGTGTCACTATAGTTGACACGCCCTTCGCAAACAGTGGGTCGCAGGTGATGTTCAAGAAGTAAATTGTTAAATGTGGACTTAATAGATGGGTTCCGATTGGTTTCGCCGAGAGAAACAGTCGGTGATATTGCCATTTCGTTCTCCTCCACATTAGCATCAGAACGCTCATTGGAGCGTGCAGGTGAACCGCTCGCCTGGCAACCATCATTGGCAACTTGATCCCCAAATATATTGCAGTAATTCTTCTTTTTTTCTTCTTCTGATTTACGATGACTGATTGATAGCCTACGAGACACCAACCTTCGATAATGGCACTGAAAGGAAGCTGTAGAAGTAAAGACGGTGACATGATATTTTGTTAACTCACCTGATTTAATGATTCCCTAGCATTCTCGCTGCACATCTCCCTCTTCGGTTTCTCGCCCTGAAATGTACAACAATGAAAAAACCAAGATATTTCGGGAAAACTTTGAACATATTTCTTCCCCTTCAATGTTATGATCACAGAAACGAAGAACAGAAATCGTGGATATCCCTCAACAAGCCCCCACTGTCACTCATGAAAAGTTATACCTTGATCAATTCAAAGCTTAGTTTACTGGAAGAAAACGAATTATCCGCTGCACTGGAAAGGGTACGGCTTTAATGATATCCAGTGATACAATGCTTTAGTGTACAGATCCTTTAGTCCAATTACGTTCGCGAATACATCATAAAGATAACAGCGCTCCTGATACTTTTAGGGCCCATTTATCCTGTTTCCTTTGGTAAACTAGGATAAACTTGCATGCAGTATGCGAAGCTGAGTGCAAAACAGAGCTAGTACACATAGTTTCACATAGAAAGCACAACTCACGTCAACTCATGTTGACATAAATATTCTGCTGTATTAAAAAAGTTTGTTCCTCCGATGGTGTTCATGCATGGAATTCATGACTTCGCTCACGAGTCACTGTGACAATCCTATATCAATGTCGGCTCGAACACTCGTTCACACTCAGTCACACTCGTTCATTTAAAACGTAACAGCTTCAAATGCCTCAACTTTTCAGAAAAAACCCTATTACGTTCGCTCAGTGATAGGTTTATTGGACTGAGCAATACATTGCTTGGCTTATATACGGTAGCAATCGTTCCAGATGTTACAGTACTGACAGATGTCGAAAAAAACTAACGTCAGATGCCAGTCTAAGAAGAAGTGACTATTTCTACATTCCAGCTAAATGAGAAGTTGACTGCACATAGCGCGTTGACGTAGAAGGTCGTGGTTTATCACGACACTCCGCAGCGCGGAGCCACAAGACAACACATAAATTGCATACAATTGCAACGAGTGAATGCGTCGAATACATCTTACCAAATTACGGCTAAGACTTAATCGACCAACTAAGCTAACAAAGGTTAATCTAGAGCAAAAGAATGTTCCAAATAATGAAACCAGTCGTATCTTGGATACGTCCTGTGTTCCTTTCGAACGCTGACGTTACTGATCCAACGCGCCGTCAGTGCGCAAACCACATCCAGACGATTGACCGATTGCAACGAAGACGGAGGGACACGAAGCGAACGATGTGGTGGCGACAGTTTCAGCGAATAGTAAGACATAGAGCCAAGAGCTGTTGAACCACTGGCAGAAGTCGGCTAGCGAAAAGGTAGCACGTCATGAATAGCCAGGAATCAGTGGTCGAAAGGCGAATGAGACGAACAGCCGTCGGGCTGGGCGAGTAAACGATATAAGTCGAATTTGAAAGTGCACTATATCAGTGAATAATCGGCAAACATATGGACGTAGTGAAGAGTGGTGAAAGACGAGGGAAGGATGAGAGTAGGGGGATCGCATGAAGAGGGGTTGCACGACCGTTCGCACAATCGTGCGACCTCCGGGCCAGCGAAATTTTACGTCTTCTTCTTCTGAATCAACTCGAAGCACTCGAGTACTTGAGAGGGCACAACAGCACGTTATGGTCATGACCACAATATGAGCACACGATTCTACAGTTGTTAGCATGCCGGGGTTGAAGGCATTCGTTGCATAGTCGTAGATTTGCAGCTTGGAGTGCACGAGATACGGCACCTCGGAAGCGGCAACAGCAGGGTCCTGTAGGGTGAGAATCATTGTTTTCTTCGATGTAACAGAATACGCAGTTTGACTTGAGAGCCGTTCTTTCGAGAACCAGTTCTGTTTTCGGTTCAAAGTGTCGAACTGGTGGTTGAGAACGTTAGTGATTGCAGTGAGGTGAATGACGAGGCTAGTTGCTCTTTGAGATCTCTGACGGCTTCGGCAAGAGGCTCGATTACGTCGACTTCGTCCATGAGTGTGGAGGCAAATGAGAGTGTATGACATGGTGGATCATGGCATGGATGCCGTGTCTCGGTTTTCCAATCTTTTTCTTGTGCCCAAGCTTACGCCGTTTGGCCAATAATTTCAGTACGGAACTAGCATTCTAAATAGATGCTTTGGGATAAAATGAGATGAGTCACTTCCAAATTGTCTTTTTGATTATCTCACTGACTGCAGGAGCGATAACGCTAGCTCGGCCAAGAGTTCTGCGCATGCAAACATAAGTTGGATTATATAGAGGATGACAACTGGTCCAAAAAAGTATGCTGCTACACCGAGAAGCGCCGTGGAGTTGTCACCTGCTATGGTTTTTATTGCAACCAATGCGACATTCCTGTAGAGCGATCGAGCAATGGAAGCCAAGACTGTCTTGTGTTGATTTGTTAGAAGAATCACACTCGATCGAAAAGGAGCGTCGTCGCAAAAAATGGTCAACCATACCGGTATTTTTGTGACGCACATCTGTGTGTTGATTTCCTTGAACGAGATTTCTCTGCCGAATTCCGTAGAAAATTTGCCTCTGGAATCGAAAGTGTTTTCGGCGTAACGTCTCATACGCTCATGTTGGCAGTCTCCTCCAGCTTGCCCGCAAAGCATGACTAACGCAAAAGTCACCGCGACGGTGATGCTGAGGTGCTGCGGACTGAATGTTTTGAGAACGATTTTTTCATAAGCATAGCTGCGGCGGCCTTGCTCGCACGTATTTGTGCCCTCTCGCGAGGAATCGGAGTTTCGATGCTTGTATGATAATTTGCAGTGCATGCCATTTGACCACATCCTCTATGCGCGTGTCGAGCCGCTGTATGCCCTTCATCACGAGAAATGAAACGGAAACTAGTGCGTAGAAAATGAACACAATAGAGATTAATGCTCTCATCGACCAGCAATGAGGATTGCTACCTAGATGCTTCGAAAACATGCATAATAACGGTGGAGAAGCGTCTGAACGAGAGAATAAAAGTACAATCATGAGGATCGGCAAGCATAGCGAGGATGGAGTCGGGGGAAAAGACATGCGGCTTGGTTCATTGAAAAGATCTTATCGCATCCTGAATTACCTTTTTTGTTCCGAGTTTGGCTTTTCGTGTTGGGCAATGTTCATCCGTAGTCGCAGGCATGTTGTGAAAAGGCGTAGGCATCGTTACAGTAGCATCTTGAGGATCGATTGATCCATGCCCGTGAATCAACGGGCCGAAGACTGCTTTTGTTAGACTCAGGCCTGATGGCATTATGAGGCTATTGTTTTCAAGTATAAAATCATAGTAGTAGTCGAGCTCGACCACAATTCGAGGCAACTGATGCTCCCCTCGTATAGTCGGGTTGCAGGCAATAAATATAACGATCCTGGAGGAACTGCTTATCCACTGCACCCAAATGAACTCCAGAGAATCCTCTTTGTTGGGACTGGCTTGGTTTGTATTACTATTTCCATGTCCTTTCCATAGGCAGTGCCTATTTTGACGTTAACGATGCTGCTCTCAAATATTCATGTGTTACCTCGAATTCCTGACATAACGCAGGTTTCTGTTCTCATACTAGTAAGTTCGAGCTTCAGTGCAAAATCTTCTTCCATTATAGTCTTCTGTGCGCCTGTGTCAGAGAAGAAAACTGCTTTCTTGAAGTTCTCTGAATGGTAGTTCCATATGCGGCATTCTGCACTCATAAGAACTATCTGATTTTGATTGCCATAGGGGTGCGGTTTTTCGATGACTGCATAGTTTTCTGTATTCTAGAATTCTTCACGCTCTGGTGCATGATCTGAGAGAGATGCGTGGAGCCCTTCGTTTTCTGCAAAGTCATCATTGATGTGAAAATTGGTATTGTGAGCTTTCTCCTGCACAGATTTTGTCCTTCGTGAATCTTTGGGGTTTTCATTTTTCGCGGAAATCCTGATCGTTGACTGTTGCGTTTGATCAAGATACGACTGGAGGTTTTGGCGTGCATCGCTATAGGAATTGGCGCTGTTGTGACGGATGGCGGCTTCACTTGTATATCCTATTGCGACGATTAGTTTCATGTGGTGAAGTTTGCCACACAGCAAGCAGTTCGCCCTTGCACACTCGTTGCTAGAATGTTTATCAGAATAGCATTTCCAGCACAAGTGTTTCTCAACAGCAACTTTTCGCCTTTTGAGACAGTCATTGGAGATCTGCATTGCCACGCTGTTTGTCGGACTTTTTCGCACATCACACTTTTTGTCTCCGTCGATAGTGTTCTCCTGTTCCAATCTTTTCTGATTCATAGTTTGCATGCGAAACTGAATGTAGGATTTTGCCGCACTTCCTCTTTCAATCATTCCCAAAATGCTTTCAATCGTGGCATCCTCTTTCTCGCTCATTTTCACGAGCGCTGGCTCTACGATGTCATGATGGAACTTGTTCAGAATAAGCTCTGTCCACATCGCATCCGTTGTGATGCGAACGTCTTGTCCTGCAGATACCATTAGATTGACAAGCATGCATATCTTGTCGTACATGAACTCATTCTTTTCAGCTCTTTGGTTAGCTTGCCGGATAGCGCGTAATTGCTGAACGATACGAGATGTATTGGCGGGGTTGTTGTCGTATTTCTTTTGCAGTGCCTGTATCATTCAGCCATAGTTATAGAGGAAAGCTGAAAACCCTTTATTGCCTTGTCGGATCTTCCACGTAAGCTATCTTTTAGAAGCAGCATTTTCGCGATGACGGACAATGAAGGGTTGTTGTGGACCAAGGTTTCGTATGCTGCCCAAAACTCGGGGAAATGCTCTTGTTTACGTTGGAACTTCGGGAGATTTATCTTCGGTGGAGGTATGGAAGGCATCGGCACAATTTCTCGCGTGAGCTCATTCAGTGTGCTGGTGGGGTGATTACTTATCTGAGTTCTTAGGACGTCATTGTGTACGCTTAGGGTCCGAGGACATTGTCCTAGCTTGCGAGCTAGTCGGCTTTCATTGCTGGAAGCTTCTGTGAGCCTTGTTCTCAGCATATACGCAGGTTGCCTTTTATTTTTCGGGATTAGAGAACAAAAATAAATATTAAACATTGAAAATTGCTTAATTGCTTTTCCAAAATATTCCCTATTGAGAACTATACACTTTCGCATGCGTTTGAACCAATTGTCGAAGCACTTTTGCCACTCTGATTGAGGTATCTCCAAAACATGCATTCTGAACTTGCATTTTGAACGCATCAATCGCTTCTTCAGGTGTCAAAAAACGTTGACCCCTCATTTTTTTTCACGTGACGTACGGGAATAAAAAGAAGTCATTCGGTGCCAAAGCCAGGACCATATGGCGGATTACACATCAAATCAATGTTTTGAAGGCTCAAAAATGCAGTTGTTTGAGCCGACGTGTGAGAGCTCGCATTGTCGTAGAGAAGAGTTTTTTTCAAACAAATTTTTTCAACTTTTTTCAATTCAAACAACATTTTTTGACAGTCAAATGTTCATGCAATATTGAATGTATGCATGCTAGTCCCTTTAATGCCTAAAGTTGTCCCAATCTCGCGATAGGTCACATGACGATCTTGCAATATTGGTTTGCGCCCAGCATCGGAGCAACAACTGATTTTAACGACCTCCACTAAAGTCGTTCCGGAGTGAACTACGACGAACCCCGGAAGAATTCACCATTCCATCAATAAACACTAGACCTTTATCGCCAAAAATTGAACTGACCAGGGAAGGATCCCAAGTCGAAGTGGCCATTTGAAATGAGACCTACACTGCTAGACGTGTTTTTGGATGCTGAGTTCAGATCAGCTCTCCAAATT